CCATAACACGAAAAAAATCGGCGATAATGGAATTTTAAATTTACACTTTGTAATCGTTAATAAGATCGCTATTTTGCTTCGCAGGCGGGTAATAGACTTTTTATAAGGGAGGTGCGAAATTTCATTAACGAGGGATAGATCGGGATTTGCAGGAATTATAAAAAGAACATTTTTTTTATTAACTTCCCAAAGCAAATTGACGAATTAACTTGAATTTTGTTCTCCGTCCAACTACGAATGCAGAAAATCAAGGCAGTACTTTTAGAAAAACTTTAAATCATTTCGAAAGTTACAAAAAGATTCGATTTTTACATGGAAAATGTTTAAGGAATCGTAATGGTGTATGGGTATAAATTTTCAGTGTAACAAATGTTCGAGTACGACCGCTGCGCGCAGGGATGGTCCGATCGGAGTGATTTTGGTGTCGTTGTTCAGGTTGGACCTTACTGCGTCGAATAGATTACTAGGGGTGGCAAAGGGAGGGAAACGGTGAACCACTACAGTTTGGTTGTTTCTATACGACTCTGTCGATATTTGATTGCGTTATAAGACTTAGACTTAGAAGTTACAGAGAAAAAAGCTTTACGAAGTACGTACAGGGGGCATTAAATTAGTATATGGTTTTCAAAGGCAAGAAAGGGGAAATTTTGTAACAATGACTTGATATGTCCATTCAAAGAAATGTAATAATCACATTCTCCAACTGAAAGTAGTGAAAAAATCACTTAAAACGTGACAAAGTTCTATTATAACTTCCATAATTCTTTTAGTTTACCTCTTAGGGTTTGAAACTTATTAAAAATTTATAATATTGTCAGAACGTCGCGATATTTAAAGTCATGACAAAAAAGACATTTTTTGGCACTTAGGTCCATAGTCGAAATTCTGTCTAGTAAAGAAATTGAGAAATTCTTGACAAGGTGCAATATGAGGTTGTTTATTATTTGGCGTATGTGACGTCACTACTAGTAGAATAGCTATGCCGATTCTGCTCCACAATTCAAGATGGCGACTAGAGCAGCATCGGCATAGCTTTCAGCCGACTACGTTACAGCGGCTGACGTCAGCGCCGTAGAGGTTAATAATCGTTCGTGCCGACTAAAAGTATCATTTATATACGGATCTATCATTAATAGTAGGGTTGATTAGGGAATTAAAAATAAAATACAGAAAGTTTTATCATTTATTTGTTCTTCTTCTTGTTTATTACAATTCTAATACAATATAACATGCTACAATACATTATTTTTATCAATCCAGGAATTATGTTTGTCATCGCAACCTAACCAATTGACAAAAACTTTATTTCCCTTTTTTCGTAACACCTTTTGAAGTAAGTAAGCCTCCTGTTATTTCTTTACCACTCTACTAAACTCCTGACACTCTACTAAAAAGGCCTATTGTATTTCAAGGACACCGTTAGTTTTGGCCAGGTAATATACATTTTAAAGCTTAACTTAACTGCATCGCATTCGCTACTGAGCGCGAATATAAGTCGAATAGAATACCCGAGCATAAGTCCCGTTGTTAATGCGTGCATTTTAAGTCCGAGCGGGGCATATTTCAGCTGTCGCGATTGTTTAACGTCGACGAAAACAAAAGGCACGCATTTTCCTTCAGACAGCTCGGGGGTTACACGGGAAAATCCCCCGTGAAGTACCGACGTTCATTTGTTACCATCTCGAGTTCGTTTGTTTGTCTGATTCGACGACTTGATCTGCGAGGCAGAATCCGGCTCTATTGTCATGCAAAGTTTCCGCTCCGCGTAAAAGGTCGACGTAAGCTCGCAGTTTGTTCAATACAAGGCGGGGGAACGCAAGAAGTGCGCTTCGTGCGCCTTTTTTTTGTTTAGGATACCTACTCGGCGATTTTCGTTGAATTATTGAGGTGTTTTAGATCCCCCTCGAGAAGGTGTAAGAGCGTCAATGCAGCGAGAAGTGAGGGGACTTTTTTTATAATTAATATATTGTTGATGCCATGCCTAGCGGATGGGACGTATCTCGGGAAAGAAAAGTGGGATAATGAGGCATTGTTTTTCTCTGAACGCCGGTGTAAGTGAACGAAGGAGCATGCTAAGTTATTAAAATATACCCCCAGTTAAGTAAACAATACGCGCAATTACGAGGAACATTGTGAAAATGAGAATTAAATTTTCCTCTATCGTGTAAGCTTGTTGCGACTAGACAGCTTAGACCACCGCCTTGTACAATATATAACTCAATCCTCTGTCGAAGCTGTTGTTCCCAATTGTAGGTCTTAATGATATTTTTGACCTTATCAAATGTTGTATGAATCTGTTCAATGAGTTGGTTCCCTACAATTAGGCTCTCCCGCTGAATAGGTAAGTGTCTTCACATGTCCCCACATGAAAAGGTCCAACGGGTTGAGATCCGGAGATCGCGGTCGCCAAGTTGTGAGACCACCATCCATCGATTTGGATACTTTTAATTGAGGAAATTAGCGACACCTCTTCCATAATGGGACGGAGCACCATCACGTAAAAAAAAACATCGTTCTTCTGATTTGAAGAGAAATATCCTGAAATAGTAGATGTAGATAGTTCTCCAACAAAAGCCCGATACATCTCGCCGTTTCCGTTGAAGAAATGTGGCCACCCTACGTATGTTCTTACTTTGGTCTAGAGAACATGCAAGGTACCACTTACAAGACCTCATTAAAGTTTTGATACCACCAGAGGTATTCACTAATACACCGTATTTGACTAGCGATATAAGCAATCGTTATCCTCGTCGATATTTCTAGTTCGATGGACGTGGATATATCAGCATTTCGGACCCAATTTACTAAACAATTCTCCCCTGCTGACCGTGCGAATGCAAAGGGACGGTTAAATCAACAAACTATTCAGCATTCGCTGAACGCTCGGTAATGTGTCTGATATATGTAGACGATGCATTGTTTAGGTGCTGAATCCAAAACCGAATGGTCGATCCCCGTCGAGTTTTTGTGTGGGGTTTACCAGGTCAGGTGGAACTTTTAATGATGCCGAATGATTATAATTCACTTTTTTTTTAAATAGTTCAACGTTTTCTAGATTCAAAGACTGGGTGTTACTTTTTAGAGACATATATTGATTGACATTGGGGAAATTTGCATGTTTACAAAGGTGTTACAAAGGTACAATAGTTATTTATGTACCAAGGGAGATACAAGGATAATTATGCAGGCGACAAGTCGCCTAAGGGCATAATCATCCTAGTATCTTACGTGGTACATACAACGTATTATTTTTTACTTAGGCATCTGATTTTATATTTATTGTAAATTTATTAATTAAATGTAAATGAGAACAGGTTTTCAATATATAAATGATGTATCAAGATGCATCTATGATACCAGCAAATTTGTTGATTTTAATAGTTTGATGTTTGATTCTAAGGACGCATATTGAAAAGACAAGAAATTCTAAATAAAGTAAATGAAACATAAAATTCTTAAAGTAGAAAATAAACAAAATCAACCTGAAACTTCGGAAACGAACCCGATGCTACGGATAATTTGGAATGACTTTATCCATTATTAAATTAACCCAAGACTATAAAACTAAGTAGACTGCTCAATGTGAAACCCAAGGAAGAACTGCCTGTTTTTCGGATCTCTCCTGAATTCGACACTTCGCTTTGACACGACCATTTCTTGGGTTCAGAAGTTTCTGTTCTTATCTTATTGGCAGGAACCTGAATATCGGGACGCTTTGGTATAACTATAGTATGTTAACTAACCGAATTGACTCGACTTACATTTATATAAATAATTCTGTGACTAACTGAACTTACAAGTAACTCTAGCCTTCCTCTAGTGACTCCGTGTAGCAATACGGGACGGATTAGTCAATCTCATTTAATATATTCTTAATAGCTTGGAAAATCCGCCTAAAAACCAGCTATTTGATCTATTACTTTCCTTTCCAATTATTATCATTTTAACAATTTGATTTAATTCTAATTTGGAACCTCTACGCTCTTCTCGTGGTTTTGCGTGTTGTTAAAAATATGGGCTCCTTTGTTCTGTCCCAGCATAGGTTGGCGCCTCCCGGACACGACAGATGACTGTCACGTGGCCCCGACGGTCTAAGTGAACTTGTCCAAAAAATATTGCTAAATTTCTCCGAAGGTCGACGCTAAACTTACTTGAGATCCCTTAACTTTCGATAATTAGTGTTGACTGAAATATTTCCGAGAACTAATAAATAAATCACTACGCGTCCCGGCTTTTGTTACAAATCTATACAATGCTGGTAAGCGGTAACACGCGTTGTAGTAGCAGAAATACACTAAATCTGTGGTCAAGCTGTGTGCCGCTCTATGCTCACAATACACAATACTACTGACTGCCATAAAAACACGTGCCATACATTCAACCAAGAAAAACGTCAAACTCACACACTCACAGTAGGGTGCCGCAAGATACGTATCGAATAAATTGATCGATGCGAAGCTTCAAATAAAACCACTAAGTAAGTTGAATTTTTGATATAAATTTATGAACAATATTCTGTTGTAGTTCCATTATTGCCAAATTATCGACGGCGTCGCCTTGAAACCTGTGTTTTCGCCCAGTAATACCGCAATAAAAGACGTAAGAATGCATTTTATACTAAGTCTAGTCTTCTAGTCGCGGATGTATAAAGCAAGATTAAATTTCGACCTCCGTCTTCCGCCCCGGGGGAAAACTTTAGTAAAGATATAGTATCAGAGTGAGCATATTTGCCAGTTAGTGCAGTTCAGACGTTGTCTCGTAGAATGCATGTCACAGAAAATATAAGAATAAGACGGTAGGAACATATCTCCTAGTAGACTTTACACCATGTATCTTCCAAATTGCGTATCCTGAAAAATTGCATTGTCTCCGTGTGATATCTGAAATCTAAGGTTAAATCATGAAAACAACGTAATATTTCACTAAGTCCGAAGACGACGAGACAGAGGCATGTACGGAATACCAATTCCACATAAAAGTGTCAGACTTTAGACTATTACACTTGTCGTCTGGCGTGAAATATTCCTGCGGTAACTTTTGTTGCTGGAACAGCGGAATTTCCGACAAAAACATAATGCTTGTTTTAATCGACATTAAATTTTTAGTAAATAAATACGAGTATTTAAGACGTCAGATTGTAACATAAAATAAAACATCTGAATACGCTGCGAAGACAAAGAAAAATCAATCACACTCAAAATTACCTTAAAAATAAAGTGATGTTACAACAGTACGTAAGGGAAAAGTAATTCAAGGAAGCTAGCTATCAGAAGTGAAACGGAATTGGATCCCGGCAAACACATCAAACAAGTAAAAGTGTGTAAAAGTTCATGCTACTCGTATTTTGGTAGTGACGATCAAATGCCAAGGAAATTGTATTTACCTAAACGGAATAGAATTTACTTTTTACAACGAATGCAGCCGTTTCGAGCGAATAGTTTGTTAACACTCCGTACGATTTCAAGGAATAGAGATTCGATCGGATTCGCATCCAGTGTAACCGCGGCCTTATAGATTCAGCGTCGGGAGCGACCTCTACTAAAGTCCTAGTCGAAACTAAGTCATTAATAACACATTACGGCGCCCAGCGCGTAATAAAACGGGACCCCTGGTAGATTAGCAGTTAAAATCGGGTATTGGGTGGTGGAGATAAATCCGAAACGGGGTCAGAGTTTTAAGTGAAGTTCGCTGGATTCGGTGCGCCGCCATTTAAAACCAAGATTAAACTAAATTTTAAACAAAAACCCCTCCGAACCCCGTCTTTGCGGCGCTAAAGCCTGCGGTTGAGCGCTACCCCGAAATTTTGCCCGCCTTTAATATATTCCTAATAATCCAGTCTAGCTTTGTAAATCATTCGATGTGAAGGTACGTGGTAATACAGGGTGTCGTATTTATAAGGAGGCCACCTGCGACCTTCAGAAACACGTATCATAAGTTTGTTTTCTCAAATTCCGTCGTGAAATCTGAATGTTTTTTAATCTTTTATTTGTAATTTTTCATACCTCGCCGATGGACAAGCTAGTGTGACCTCAAAGAACCGCGTTCGTTAGTCGCGGTATGCACTGTTGTCAAATCTCTTCATTTTTGAATCGCATATGTATATGTATATTCATTATACAAGGTGTTAACGAAACAAGTACCCCAAAATTTCGAGATTTAATATTGGACCGTTTTGAAGTTACGAGTTACGCTATAAAACTGTTTCCTGAGTTGCCACTTTAAGGACCCTTAGGGGCCGCCACTGACAAAAATTCTACTAAGGTTTACATCATATTTCGACATGTTTTACATACTCTCCAATTTTGAGTACTTATTTAGTTAACACCTTGTATAACACAAACACATCTACCCTAAATATGCTACAGATCATATCAAAGGTTACAGTGGCGTGTATTTTTGAAGGGTCACTTATTAAATAATATACTATTTAAAAGGGCTCTATAGCAAATAGGCAACCAACAATACATTTTTATAAATTTTATTATACAGTTTGTCTAAATATGAATTAATGCACAAATAACAAACTTTCCCCCATTTTGACACAGGTTTTTTTTTACAACAAAAAGTTTTCAGTTTCAAACTAACTCCATTTTATAAAAAATCTGCGTTATAATGGAGGAAATCTGTTATTCGTGCATTGATTCATATTTAGACAAACTGTGTAATAAAATCAATAAAAATGTATTGCTGATTGCCTATACACTAACACTACATAAGACATTTCACTAACTACTACTTTAAATTTTACTGTAAAATTAAACTTAATAAAACACAACACTCGCGCTATACAAACTATACTATATTAAAAGATTTTATATTTTCTACGCATTTTTATACCATAATATTTTTCTATCCATACAATATCATATAAACATCATGTTTTAATACATTGTAAAAACCTGGCTATATNACACAAAACATATAAAATTTGAAACAAACATTTCACAACATATCTTTGTTTTATAGAAGTTTTGACATATTATTAAACATAAAACATAAAATAAACGAAAGTTTAAGCAATCAGACTCATTATTTGGCATAATTAGCATATAATAGTTTTCAGCACTTTAAACTTAATAAAAGTCAAATGAAAATTTAGCTTTATTATCAAATTGCCCAATTGTCACGTAGCAATATAATAATGACCGTGCAATGTGATAAATAATGAAGTTTAGATAGTAATTAATCACTTAGCCCGATAGAGCTAGACATTATTCATAATGACCGGGCATTATATATAATGCCCGCATTAATCACCTGGTCCATAACAACTATATTAAAAGATTTTATATTTTCTACGCATTTTATACCATAATATTTTTCTATCCATACAATATCATATAAACATCATGTTTTAATACATTGTAAAAACCTGGCTATATTTTTTTATTTTTTGCCTGAAAACAAGCGCGTTATTCCCCTTTGGGCTAAAAGATTCACAAACAAGATCTGTTTATATTTAATTAAAATAATTACATTTCTTCCAACATTACTGCTTTTTTGTTTACTCTTATCCCTTTGACGAATATAAACCTGAAAAATACTCACATTTCAGTATTGCATTAAGAAAATGTGTTTCAGCAAATCAAGGGAATCAAATCTAGTACATCCGCTACATTCATATATTTTGATAGTCAGGTTTTTTCCCAATTTCAATTAAAATCTATATCAGAAGATCTTACTAATTGTAAGACCTTTAAATTGGATTCTTCAGGGAACTTGGCCCAATTCTGTTTATCACTTACATATTTAAGGGTTTTAAAAAAAGTTTAATGTTTGCTTGACCAAAGTAAGTCTCTAAATTTTAATAAAACTTAAAATATATTTCGTTATTTACTTTTGTCGTTTTTGTTCATCTTGCATATACAGATGATATACTATTTATGTATTTATTGTTTGTTTGTTTGATAATTTTAATTGTAGGTATTGTAATTTATTTTTGAAATAAATGATCAAATTTTAATAATAATCATATTTTATGACGTAAGACCCACAAACGTAGTACCTTTTTTAACCATAGCTTTAATAAAAAAAAGTTTCGTGAAATATTTTCATGTGAAATGCAGGCATCAACAATCTCCAAACATTACAAAAAATTTATTAAATTGTTATATTTCTTTTTGAATTTAATACAGAAATATTTTTCAAAGTCCTAATCATGACAATAAATATTGTCGAAACGTCGTAATCGATCCATCTGCAATTTGAAATGCAATCTGGGTCCCTTCAAAGGAGGCATTTGGTGATGGTGATTTGGCCGTTTCAGGTTGGTCTTTTCAGGGGTTTCCATCCATCAGGCAGACCTTTTTCAAAGACAATTGCCATTCGGCATCTATTCCGATGTCTTGTCATTTAACGAGGCTGCATTTGTTTCTGCACGGGAGGGGTTTCATTTTATTTTTGAGGTATCAATATGATTCTTTAGACAGTGGCGCACATCTCTGAAGTTCGAAGCTTAAAATTTTAATTCCCCTTTAAAATACAAAATGACGCTTTACTATAAATTAGATTGTTCAACAACTTCCCAATATTTATATGTTGTCAAAAGACGATGATTTAACACTTTAAAATTATTGAAAAAGTTAGTTTTTATGGAATTTCAGCATAAATTTCAAATTTTCAGTTTCAAAAGAGCAAATATTGCACAATCATTCGGTTATATCTCCCTTACTATTAGAGACACATTCGTCAAACTTGCCGTATGAAAGTGTGTGACTATGTAAAAGTATATAGAGTATTCTAATTAAAAAAAAACATGTCTGATTATTTTGACACTTTTCGATGTTTCTATATTTAACCTGATTTTGTGCCTCTTTATTCGCACAAAACCCTGAAATCTTTAAAAATATATACAGTGTGTCCGGTTTTTCAGGTTAACACCTCTGGAAATGTAAGAAGGCTGTGGACTTTCCGCAAGCCAATTTTTTTACAAATAGTACACTGAATGGAGGTTGTATATTACTAATCATTTTATTGATGTGACAAAAGCCTGGCCTATTACGATTTTTTAAAAGGGTAATTTTTCCAGAAAGTACTATTAGGCATTTTTTTTATTAAAAAGATAATATTACCATATTCGATACCCATTAAAATATCCATATACCAAATTTGAACGACAAATGTCTATTGAGTGTTTTTTTATGTGGTGTCAAACTTTGAAAAAACAGACAACTAAAAATTATAATAAGCAGGTCAAAGATTGCCATGAGAGTGAAAACAAATACCAATCGGACACAGGAAGAATACAGGCACTATAAATTTACTACTTTTAATTATTGTAATTAATTATTATTAATTAATTATAAAAATAATAACTTACAAAAAATGTAATGAATTATGAATACTATGTTGTTAAACAAAAAAAATGCCAAACGTTAATCTAAATTAAGTTTTAGTTTTCTTCACCAAACCTCCTTCTGTTTTTCTAAACTTTTTGTTTTAGAACACCCCAAAAGTAAAAGTCCATAGTTCGGGAACAGTAAAATTTAATTTAGATTGTTTCGTAATTTTTTTTAACAACTTAATATTTATAATTCATTACCTACATTTTTTGTACGCTAATTATTATTATTATTATTTTTAAGTGTTGTGTAATTTTTCTTTGTCGTTCAAATTTGGTATATGGGTATTTTGATGGGTGTTGAATAGCCTGGTAATATTATATTTTTGATAAAAAAATGCCTAATATCACTTTCTGGAATAACGACCCTATTAAAAAATTGTAGTAGGCTAGGCTTTTGTTACAGCAACAAACTGATTAGTAGAATATAACCTCCTTTTAGGGTACTATTTGTAAAAAAAATGGCTTTCGGAAAGTCCACAGCCTTCTCACATTTCCAGAGGTGTTAACCTGAAAAACGGGACACACTGTACACTAAAAATTAGGTTTAATTGTTGTAAAATAAAACGTACACTGACAGAATTTGTATTAAAAATTACACAATTGTCACGTTGTTGGCTATAATTTATATAAAAAATACGATTCATTACAAAATTAAGCCGCGAATGATATGCACGACATGAAAAATTGTTTAGAGACAACCAATCCACTTTGCTTCGAGGCTCCCGGTATG